GAGTTAATTTTATCAGTCGCTCATTATCGGAAAAATTACTCGTTGAAATTAATATTTTTTTTCAATCTCTTGGATTTAATTTCACCTGTATATGGAGACCTGGAGTTGATCCTCTTCTGTTGCCAAATCTGTCATGCGAATTCCGCGGAGGCTCACCCCGAGAGATACTCGCTGCAATTTTTTACCACTGGCCTTAACCTGAACCAAAATACATAGTCTGTAATTAATTAATGTCCTCTTGTGTCGTGTGCTCAGGTGTACACTAATTGCCGCAGCATTCTGCCACGATTGTAACTTGTATGTGCGTTTGAAGATACGGGGAAAACTTGAAGCCCTGATTCTCTCAGCTGGCATCCGCTTATCAGACAGAGTCAGAGTTCACAGTCTTTGTTAATTAAAGCCGGGTTGACTATTTTTTATTCAGGTCGTCGCGTTTGCATTCATTTCAAAGAGATATTTTTCGTTAATCCATCATTATTTTTATCTACACCCTCGCAACTTCCTCTGCTGTCTCCTTTTTTCGCTATTTGTTCGTCAGTTTTTTGCTCTATTGTACTGTCGAATTTTTTATAATAACCCGGGTAAGAAAAATTGTACTAGGAATATTTTTTCCGAATTTTCAAAACATTTCTGGAAAATTTTTCTTTTGAAAGAAAAAAAAATCGGGAAACAAAACAATTTTATTTTTGGGAAATGTTTTGAAAAATTTTTCAAAAATTGCTTTCGGAAAACTTTTTTTATAATTTTCTCGAAATTTTTGCGAATATAATTTTTTCTTTTAATTATACTGTTGTTTTCTCACTTTCAGAATTTTCAAAAATCCCAAAAAAAAAGCCATTTAAATAATAAAAAAAATTTTCCTATTTAAGTTTTTGAAAAATTTTTCAAAACCTTTCGCAAAAATAAAATTCTTTTGTTTACCGATTTTTTTTTGTTTCATAAAAAAAAATTCTGAAAGGTTTTCCCGAAATTTTTGGAAAATTTGAAAAAAATATTCCGATTACAATTTTTTTTTTACCCGGGAAGAAAGGAAATCTGTATGGGTGGGATGGAAAATCTTTCGCTAATTATTCGCTATATTATATATGGTGAAGTCGACTGTGCAATCGAAATGTATGACGCAAGTGGTCGTCAATATTTGACGACTCATTTATATCGAGTATAATATTTCCACTGTTGAATATTATTTCGGGAAGTCAAATATCGAGTTATGTCACATATGCTGTAGAAGAATATAAACATGGGACTGGAGGGAATGAAGATGATCAATGGGTCACATACATCATTCAAACACTAATGCATTGACTTCTACTGGG